AGACTAATGTTTGTGACACCTGTTGAATTGTGGGGAAAGGTTCATCAGCTTCAAGATGAAGACAACAAAATACGTCAATGACTGATAATTAATTAACAAATAATCAATTAACAAATAAAAACATAAAATTACCTCATAATTATTGGATTGCAACAAAAATTGGCAGAAGGCCAAAAAAAAGACGTGGTAAGGGTTACATATGAACGATCATGCTAAGAAATCTTAAAAGCAAGGGTATTGTGGTCCATTTGGTTACTTTTTTATTTTTAATGATTTTAAAATATAAAAATGGATTCTTAAATAATAAAAACTATTTAAAAAATAGATTTGGGCAAATACGATATTTTAAAACATTAAGAAGGGCAAATATGATATTTAGAGTTTAAATCGGGCACATACGATATTTAGACGTTTAATAAGGGTATATTCGAAATTATCCCAAGATGGAAATATTGAGTATCACAAAGAGCTACAAACGAATCAAGCTTTTTTTAAGTTATAATAGAAATATTTATTTTGAAATATAATTAGTAGAATTGTATATTAAAAGAACTCAATTTAAAGTCTTGAATTATTTTGAAGCTTTTGGTCATATGGTTCATTGAGCTCGAATCGAACATAGTTGTCATCTCGAGCATCATATGGTCGAGTTTGGCGATGCTTGATTGTACCCCTGATAACATGTCTAATCGTTTCACAAATAAGTCAATAGTATTGAAGCTTTTTTATTTAGGATTATATAAATTAGTTATAACAATACAATGAGTGAGAAGGCAAACGGGCAACACGTTGCACCCTAAACTTTTTTGTACGATAAAACCGATTCATTTGAAGATTGCATCCAAAGATCTGAGGGATATAACATTGTTATGCATGATCCGTTGTAGTAAGAAGCTCCACCACGTCCGGTGCAAGGAAACCAAACGTATCAAACGCAAATGGTTTGAACACTTGTTGATTTTCCAAGCACGATTTCTCATCTTTTGTGACTTTGCATGTAACAGCTTTTAAAGCAGCATGTCCCGCCTTGAAACCCCCCGCCCTCAAGCCCACAAGAGGGGATGCCCCTATAAGGTCCACACAAGTGTGTTTCCCTCCAACCCATCCAAAAACCAAGACATCGGTCGATCTAAGGGTTGACCTTCCTTCTGTCGGGTCAGTCAAGAAGTTCACAGGTGCCTCTTTTTTGGCGGAAACCCTGGCACGCTTAAAAATGCCATACAAAACATCCCTAACCATATCGTGTCGGCATTTGAACCCCGAGAGTTCTTTACAATGAACTGTATGCTCTCCAAAAGAGTCCAAACATTCCTTGCGGCACACCGGACACATCTCGTCAGCTGGAAATATTAAGACCGTGAGCTGATATTAAGGATAATGTGATACTCCACAAGAGACATATGTTGGCCAAGCCCCATCTGTAGGGATAGCTAAAAGAAAATCTTGAGCATGTGGTGCTCATAGACACTCAAAACTGCTTTCTACCGAACCGTCATGTCGAAATGCACTTCCATATCTTCGACAAATTTACTAAAAATGACACTCGTCGGTGTATGTTGGGATTTAGGGGGGTGTCCTTATTAGTGAAATTGCTAAAGTCAATGCCTGGAGGCTTGTTACGAAGATAAGTCAAGGCACAAGCATAATTAAAATACATACCACATATGTCGCTATCCTGTAAAATGTGGTCTTATAACACCTAAGATTGGGTCCTTGAGGCAACAAAAGTATATGAGGAAGCCTCTATTGCCGAGTACAAACCCAACCCACCCAACCTAATGGGTATGGAAGCAATTCATCATTGTATATCGCTAAAGAAAGGGTCACCACAAACCACGATGTCCTCAATTGCCCCGCGCAGTCCTTTGTCAAAGAGCAATGTCGTCTCCTCCATGTGAATGGGTTGGCACGTCCTCAACCCAAAGAAAAGTTTAGCAATACCCATACAAGACCGAAGCAAAAGGGGCTCACTCTGGGGGTCAGACAATTGTGGAAGAATGCACATCAAAATCACAGTGTTACCGGCTCTCTTTATGGCTAAACTGCTAATGAAACTAGCGTCTCTACTAACAGCTCCCTGAAGAAGTTTCACCCCCAATGGCGCTCTCCCGATGCCAACCAGGAAAAGCCCCTCAAGAAGCTTCCTATCATCACACGAGGGCCAAAAGAGCTCGGTTTTCTTGATATTTAACTGAATGCCCAACTTTAGACTCATCACCTTAATGATGTCCAACGCTTTGGCCATTTCCTCCGAATCTCCAATAAGTGTTCCGTCATCAAGGTACCATGAATGGAGAAGAAGCTTGCAATTGTCTCTAATAGTATGTAAGAGCGGGTGCAACACAAGAACAAAGAGAAGTGGTCCTAAGGGGTCTCCTTGCTGAACCCTAATGGTGGACCAGATATGTGTGCCTCCTAGATACAATATTGCTGCTTGACCAAATAAGAATTCTTTTAACAAGGATATAGAAAGACACGTGAATCTAACCTCATGAAATAATACACATTTGTCCACAATGTTAAAGACATCGGAGAAGTTAACGGTAAGCATGGAAAGAGACCCGTTGTCGTGACACTCACTAAACATCCTGTTGACACTATGTAATACAGCCTCAGCTCCATCCGCCAGCTACTTCGACGCCGAACCGAAAATCATTGAGATACTTGGTCATTTCTTTACCAACACATTTCATAACCAACTTGAAGCTCAATTGCTCTAACATATTTAAATTACTATGTGGCATTTGAATTACTATGTCGCATTTGGTACGTAGTAATCAAATAGAAATGTAATAGAACATTAACATGGAATGAAAAAAAAAAAAAATGTATTCGTCTGCCATAAAAAACAAAATGGAGTAGTTCTCACGGGATGTGATTACTTCTACTTGCTCGGTTTTCATTCCTTAGGGAATGGTTTTTTCTCCTTCTTTGATGGAATGGAATGGTATACCATAAGTATAAATTATTTTTATTTATATAATCTTTTATAACACTAATTCAACTATTAATAAATAAATAAATAATCCAAAAGTAACCAAGTTTTCTTCTTATAATTGAATTTCAAGATTTTATGGTATTTTAATTTTTTTTTCATAAACAAAAGTTTAAAATGATACATAACTTTAACTATTTAAACGACATGAAATATGTATATATACAAATCTATTTAAGAATATATGTTTACTTGATTGAATTTTTTTTTAAATAAAACAATTGCTTTATCAGTTTAGTTTTATTTAGCTTTCTACTATATATTACAAACAACTATGAATTAATCATTTTATTCCTTCAAACACTACAATCAAGTGCAAATTGTCTATTCCATCAATTTATGATTTTATTTCAAAGAAATGTGCTTCATTTTTTTAAGCTTCTTATTAGCCGCAGGAGTACCACCGAACACACCCTTATTAAACACAACACAATACAAACATAAATACATCATTGTTAGGCAACCAAACGAAAACGAAAATGTAAATGAAAAATCAAAATTAAAACCAGAATGGAGGCTTTTGCGAAGCAATTTTTGCTTCTATGCAGCAATTGTTGGAGTTTATTGCTGCCCTTTTAGGACTATTGGAAACGTGAAACTCCATTACATAAAGCAAAAGGAGAGGATTCCATTACAATCTTACATTTGGAAGTCTGAAACAACCCTGCTTTCTTTTTTTCTGGTTGATTTGATCTTGAATTATCAATCGCACGAGCATAAGTTTAGGGTTTAACGGTTTATGTTATTAAGTAATAATCAAATAAGAAAAACTGAGTTACCAAATAGAAGACCCAATTAACAAAAGTAAAAGTTCATTTTAGTTACATAATACTACTAATTACTAAACACTTTTAAGACTAAATTGAAAAAAAAAAAGGTATTACAAACAAGCTCATGGCAAAGAAGAATACATGAATAAAATCATAAACAACTGGGTAAGGGAGAAGAATGCTAATGAAATCAATCATACACAACAGGGATGGATCACAAGTGGGAGGGAGTAGGGACACTTGACAGACTTACAACCTGTGACAACTTTTATGTATGTAAATGTAAAACAAAAAGTTTCACAAATTTTACCTTCAAAATGGTAATTGGTAAGGTACAAACCTCAACACAAAGAATGCGCCAATCAAAGTAGTAGGGTTGTTTACTTTGGTTAGTTTAATCAAGCCAGCGAGTAATTCCATCCTCATCTCCTACGGTTGCTAGAATCTCCACACGTACATCTAAAACAGCCTGCAATTTCCATACATACAATACAAATATTACATTATTAGATTTGAATATTGTTGTGTTATCAGATGATGTAACATTTTTAGTACTGTACTACTTACAGATGGATTTCTACAGTTGACAAGTCTACATTCCTCCAAAGACCCTTCAAAAGTCCAACTCTCCCACACGTCGAAACTATGACTAGCAAATACAAATTCCATTCTTCTATTTATCTGTGCATGGTTAAAATTAAAGTTATTTCTTCACATAATTTATATATAACTCTTTGTCATGGAGCACCTTAATCAAGCTTTCATTCTCCAACCCAAACAACTCTCAAGTCTCAAGGGAAGTTTAATTATATCAACAACGTATGAATATGATTGCTCCTTTTGTTTAGTATTTGAGGGCGTGTTTTGTGCACAGATTACAACGGGAACTGAAATTTAAAACCCCATTCTGTGGAATATGAATTAATGATTCCATTCCGTGACATGTTTGGTTGCCAAATGGACAGAATTCAATTTTGTCGCAAACCTTCAAGTTCCTTGTTTCACGGAATTCCCATTCCTAGGGGTAGGGTGGAATGAATTCAACTCCATTCTTCATTTTTTTTCTTTATTATTAAAAGACCAAAATACCCTCACTATATATATATATATATATATATATATATATATATATATTACCAGAGATCGCAAGAAGGAGTGCAAGAAAAAACACTCTCTATCTATTAAATTT